GGGGGCACCCTATTTGGAGGAAACCCCCAGCCTTTTGCAAAAAGTTGCACCTAAACTGCTCAGAGGAACCAGCGGTTGCTTGGAAGAATATATGCTGCCTTCAGAAAGGGGGATTTTTCTACAGGTTGGGTCCCGTCAAGAGCTTTTGGGGAGGACGAGGAAGGGGCAGGATAGCTATAGTGGACAGGCGTGTGTCCAGGGTGGGCTCGCCTGCAGTGTTAGCTTGGGGGGCGGGGGTCTCCCTTAGCCACTACTCTCCCCGTCCATACATGCCCCACGTCTCTGAGGTCGCATCCCAGGTTTCCTCCTTCAGCTGGAGGTCTGTGCCGGAGCCTGGGGCTGGTGTCCCAGCCCTCTTGTGCGAGGATGATTCATGCTGATGTGCTGGCCTGGAAAGAGTCCTGCCAAGCCTTGCCTGGACAGACACCCCCACGAAGATCGGCCTTGATGGCCGTGTAAGAGGACTCGTGCAATGCAATCGCAGGGGGCTGGAGCAGGTGAGGTCCCACCCTCCTTGCCCCCAGAGGCCTAGCTACCCATGCCAGCAAGTGGGGGGCTTTGCAGCCTGGCTGCTCACACCTGGGTTAGGCCAACCTGGGCATGGATCCATCCAAAGAGGCTCCGTGCTGGCCGCCCCGCTGGGGTAGACCCAGAGGTCTCTCAAGCTCCAGGCCCGGTGTCCAACAGCATCTTAGTGGGGCAGAGGCAGGGCTGGAGCACACGGTGCCTCTTGCCGCTATGTCTGGGGGCACGGCAGATGGGGAAGGGGTTGGAGTTGGCCAAGAAACTCGGAGGAACTTGGTCTGCAAACCAGCATGAGCAAGGCACCCCGTGTCCGGCTAGCTTGAGTGCATTTCAAGCCCAAAGTGCCCTCTGTTCCCTTGGTCCAGCCACTGCTGTGTCCAGCAGAGGAAAAAGTCCACGGGCTTTCCTTGGCACAAGCCAGGTGCCTCTTGGCATCGCCCACGGCCTGATGCCCCGCCAGGAGGAGTGTACCCGCCTGGGTCCCCGCGGGGCCGTGCTCATCCCACCTGGCTCTGCAGATCCCGGCGTCAGGCCAGGCTGTGCAAGCTGTGAGCAGTGCCACCTAAATCATCCCAGCCAGGAACGGGGGGAGGAAGAGGCCGATGGTCCCCAGCAGGCAGACGATGATGAACATCCAGAGGAAGATCCGGTCTATGACCATGGCGACGTATTTCCAGTCCTCCTTCACCTGCGAGCGGATGGGAATCAGGGAGGTTAGAGAGATGGGACCCTGGTGCAGCCATGGAGGGCCAGTGGCTTGGTCCAGGGCTTGGACACCAGCATGAATCGCTGGTCCAGCCACAGGCCTCTCTTGGGCTGGAGCTGGATTGCTGCTGTGCAAACTTCCCCCCAACGCACTCGCTCCCCTTTCCAACGTGTCACACACCCCGCGTGCAATGCCGCTGTGATGCACACCCTGCAAAGTCCAAGGAGGGGGGCTCACTCCTTGCAGCGCCCCTCGCTCCTGTGCTCAATAGTGACTGATGCCCCTTTCCTCCAGGCCCGTGTCCAGTCCCTTGGTGGGTCTGGCTGGATGTCCCACTGCATCTGGTGGCCACAAACCCCCACTTTAATGCCACGCTGGGTGGAAAAAGACCTGCCTGGGGCTAGCTTTAAACTTAGCCTGCTTCTTTCATGCTGTGACCCCTCGTTCTTGTGCGGTGAGAGACCATAAGAAATCCCTCATGACGTTTTCTTCCCCATTTCATTTCCTAGAAACCCTTTTCACGTCCCCACCTCCAGCATCTCTTTCTACACTGAACAGGCCTGGCCTCTTTTAGTCCCCCCTGCCCATGCCACTCATCATCCTTGTCGCCCTTCTTTGCACCCTCTTTGCTTCTTCTACCTCCTTTTGGAGATGCAGGGACCAGAGCTGAGCACCAGGGGCAAGGTGCGACAGCACCGTGAATGGATCAAAAGGCAACAGGATACCTTCCCCTTTGTTCATAGCTCTCCTAATCTCCCAGGGCTAGCCCACGGGGCTCCCACTCACCGAGAAGTCAGCATCCTCGGCCCGCAGATGGTCGGCGATGTAGTGGACCCCCTCCAAGGCTCGCAGCAGGCTAGGAGACAGCAGCAAGCTGGGATCGGGCCCCGGGCTGTCCCCCTTGGTGGGCAGCCGCTGGGCCTGGCTCCCCGGCACCCTGCCCAGGTGGCGACCGCAGCTGTAGCGGTGCTGGAGGCTGTGGCCGCGGGAGCTGCAGGGACGCGTCCTCTCCTCTTCTTCCTCCTTCTCCTCCTCCTCCTCCTCGTCCCACTGGTCGTCCACGTCCGTCTCCAGCCAGCACCGGGAGGTGCTGAGGTGGGCACCGGGCGGGCCATACTGTCCCAGCAGCATCCCCGCGCCGGGCGGGCGCTTCATAAAGAGCCAACGGGGGATGAAGTCCAGGAAGACGCCACGCACCCACCTGGGCATCTTGTGGGTGCTGGGCGAGCGGTGGTGGACATTGAGGACGAAGACGGTGATGACGATGGAGAGGGTGACGAAGATCATGGTGAAGAGGAGGTACTCGCCGATGAGGGGGATGACCAGGGAGGTGGAGGGGATGATCTCGGTGATGAGCAGCAGGAAGACGGTGAGGGAGAGGAGCACGGAGATGCAGAGTGTGATCTTCTCCCCGCAGTCGGAGGGCAGGTAGAAGACCAGGACAGTGAGGCAGGAGATGAGGAGGCAGGGGATGATGAGGTTGATGGTGTAGAAGAGGGGCAGGCGGCGGATGACGAAGCAGTAGGTGATGTCGGGGTAGATCTCGGGGCAGCAGTCGTACTTCTTGGTGTTGTAGGTGCCCACGGCGTTGACGATGGCCCACTCCCCGCTCTCCCAGTAATCCTTCAGGTCCACCTGGAGCTCCATGCTCTCCAGGTCGATCTTGGCCTTGTCGTAGGTCCACGAGCCGAACTTCATCTTGCAGTTCTGCTGGTCGAAGGGGAAGAAGGTCACGTCGATGCTGCACGAACTCTTGTAGATGGCCGGCGGCACCCACTTCACCCACCCGCTGGAGAACAGGTGGGCTTTGGTCATGTGGGTCACTGCAAACTCCCCGTCGGCGCTGGAGAGGGGGGCACAGGACCGCGGGAGTCAGAGGGGTGGAAAGGACTGGTGGGGCCAA